TGCCGTATGTTTTATTATAAAAAACAAACTGCCATATGTTTTATTAAGAGAAATAAGTAAATGACAATGCGTATAAGGATTTCATGTAAAGATCTCACTGTGTCAAGATCAATTTGTCACTCTCTATAAGAAAAGGGAACTTTAATCGTACCCAGACGACGTAATAATGCGAGCCAAAAATAGAAGAAAACGAAGAAAACGCCCGATGAGTCTTGCCTTTAATGGAAAAACATCGAATTTTCTTCAAAAAAGGGCACAAATTAGCAACTGTCATTCGTTCTATGACAAAGACTCGCATTCACAGGAACCGAGTGATATTTCCCGAGGAATATTTGCAATAGTGACCGCTATTTCTGCCTTCACCTGAAATCTGACGTTCATTTGTTTTCTTTGTTTACATCGGACATCGCCGCGCGAGGTGCCATGATGAGGCAGACGATTTATCTACGCCTCCTTTTTTCACTCTGGGAAATTCGATGAATGTCGGAACTCTCTCATTTCTTATACTTGCTGATCATTCCAGGTCTTTTATTTCGCTTTTTTTCTTGCCTTCTCTTTGCTAATTCAGAAAGAAAAATAGAAAACGTAAGATGATAGGTAACGTGCTGTTGAATTAGGGTAATTAGGTAAAACAGAGGCTGACATTGTTTTTGTTCCATCAGCCTTTTTGTGATAAGTGAACGAAATAAGGGATGTTAACTGTGATCATTAGAAAAAAGAGAGAATACAGATCATACTATATTTTGGGATTCGAAAATATTTTTGATTCTAGGACTTCTTTTAAGAAACGCAACAAGTAGTATAGGAGAACAGCATATGCCAGCTACCGTCAGATATAACGAAATATTTGTATAAAAACAGAGTTCGTTCCCGTCAGTATGATCAGTAGACTTGAAAGAAAGAGATAAAAAATGAAAGTATGCATGTATTTAAAATAAAAGTGTGAGTTAGAGACCGCAGTCCCAAAATGCGGTTTCAAAGCTGGTCTCTTTTTTTCGGGAGTGGGTGAGGGATAGGGGCGGGGGTAAGGGTGGGGGCAGGGGAGGGGATATTGCGGGAATGTTCTCATTTGTTCTCATTCTTTGTAATTTGCGATTCTGTGTGCTCAACTGTGATTTAGCGCAAATTTTATCAAGTAGCGGATAGAATGCAGATGACCTTTGGTTTTACGTGCTTTAAGATCCATGTGTTGCAATGTTATAAATATATTTTTGGCTTATCGTTACACTAGATCTATGGAGTAAAGTAATTTATCTTTGTTTTTCCCTAGATACGGAAGAAACAAATAAATAAATTTACGCACAATCCATCATGCATATTACACCATTTCACCATCAAAGGGAATGCACTATCTGCAACATCATATCTGTGCAATAAATTGGTTTAAGTAATGGAAGACTCGTTCAGCCAAGGCTTTTTAGGATGGCCAAAAATATGCGAGGACTAATGTTATGTCTCCATTTTAACCCTCGGAAGTATGGTATTTATATGTTATTTATTAGTGTGGTTCAAGAAAACGAAAGACTGAAGGTTGTAGCAAGAAAAGTAAAACAAAAAAGGTAATGACATCAGGTGTATTTCACGTGGTTATGTCGATATTAAATATGCAAGTATACCCTTAATTTTTAGGGGTACGACTGTAAGACGTTTTCTTTCATATTATTTTCACTTTATTCCATATTTACGTTTTTGGTGCTGCCATAATTTGCGATATTTCACCCCCAATGTTTTACAATCGAGGAAAGAATTTTATATAAATGGAATTAAAATGTTCTGCTAATGCTGCCTAGTTTTATTTCTTCCTTAACCATATGATAACTAACATACCCTATGATAGCTAAGGATATCCATTTTAACTTCCGTGTTTACTAAAAAAAAAAAAAAAAAAAAAAAAAACATACCATTTCTTGATTCATACAGCAAGACTGACAATGAATTAATTATTTTGGGTTAATCCAAAAAATGAGTAAATAAAGTTTTTAAAACCATTAGGAACGATTCTTGATTAGACACAAATGACAACAATCTTTAGTATTTTTTTTTTTTTTTTTTTTTTTTTTGTCTAATATACCTTCACATTGCATTTACGTTTAAATGTAAACATCTAAACATTTAAACATCTGCCGTTGACAAATTTAAAAATGAATAAACTAAACGTCATACAGAAAAAAACAACAACAACAACAATAACAACAACAACAACAACAAAACAGGACGATTATATATGTATTATCTCATCCAGTACAACTATTTGAATAATATGGTCGAGTTGTCATTCTTAAATCAATACTTGCTAAAATAAAAACTGAAAAAATGAAAGGTTTCCCAGTCGTTTTTTTCATCATTACTTCCTACTTGTGTTGCATGCGGTGTTCCACAACATATTTTATCTCAATATTCTTGCAATCAATCAGCCATCATGAGTTTCATTTTCGTGTGAAAGTAACAGATGTCTTTGTCTTACCAAATTTCACCCTTATGTTTAACTAACGAAGCCATATGTGTGCTTTTGATAATTAAACAGAAATGTCAAGTATGAATGTAAAACGGACATTATACCGGTATAAAGATTCGAATCTGTAAAAAAAATCGACTCTGACAAACGATGCTTATAATGAAATATACTTTAGAAGTGATGATTTAATTATTATTGATTATACCCGACCAGCAAACAGCAGCATGGATGACGTATGCAGACTTCTAGAATTCTACGTCCACGCGGTAGTAATAGATTTCTAGATATAGTATATGCTCTATCTAGCTTCGTCAGCAGTAGTGAGGCGCTGCTCTTCTACGTGAACTGAGCATCTTTGTGCCATCGCAAAACACTAAATATTTCTAAACGTCTTTGTAATGATTTACTTTGGTATTTTCCTTTTTATTTTGCAAGACAAACAAAAAGGTAAATCATTACTGATATTACGTGTGAAGTTTTCGAGGATAATCTCATGACTGTTAACAAGTCGTTCTCAGCAAAACACAGGATAGTGTTTAGTTTAATATTCCAACCCACTTTTACGTTCAAGACTTTTTAATGTGTTCGATAACATGTCTAATATTTTTAACATAAATTCAATTACACAATTTTCCTCTTTTTCGATTACCTATCTAAGTTCATGAAAATTTAATGGACATATCTCGTCCAGGAGGGACACTGTTGCCAAATCTAGTACGAATATCTTGGCGCTGGTCATAGTTCAGACTCATAGATCTTATGCTGCTTTTAACATGAAAACATAGGATACTAGAACTTTCTAGAACTCAGTGAAGGACTAACATGCTTAATACACTGCATCTTTACCTAAATCATAACGCACTTGTAGATAGGTTTCTTGTACAAAACCGATTTTATTTTCTATTTTGCCTTTACTTCTCTGCCATTACGCTTTTTGACCGCACGTACACAGCAAGCCACTTTAGTTTTTTTCTCCATTAATCTCATCTTATCTCTTTCTACCAATCAATTGTTTAGCATTCATCGCAGAGATATCCTCAGTGTACATAAGTGTCATAAGTACATTCATTTTTTAAATAAATTTCTCCCAAAGGTCTCTTTAATGTTCACAACAGCTTACTGTGTTGAAGGCACACGCATACATAAACACAAATACATACATACATAAATATATACATATATATGGTGCGTGTGCATACATACATATATGTGCTGTATAAATAAATAAATATATATATATATATATATATATACATATATATATATATATATATATATATATATATATATATATATATATATATATATATATATATATTACACACACACACACACACACACACAGCACACGCACGCACGCACACATACATAAATGAATTATTCATCAGCCATTAATCCACTGCAGCCTTAGGCCTCTCAATTCACACTGAAAGGTCATTTGACAGTGCCAGCCTTGCGGTTCACGTATGCCACGCCGGCGCCTTCAGACATGAGACACATCAGGGTTGCTTTTACCTAATCTTGATGACCTCTTGTTGCTACGTAGGAATTCTCTGCCTCGACCTCAGGGTTTGTGTTTATATTCTAGGGTTGGTTTTAATGCGAGTTGTTTTACGAAGTATGAATGTGGTTTCGTAAATGCATGGTTGTGTGTAGTCTTTTTCATAATTTCTACGTCTTTACTCTATAAAAGTCCCAACTCCGATGACAGTATTTATCATTGTTTGCCGACTTCGCAGATTTCCATTCATTCCATTCCATTAAATCATGCTTCATTTTCATAGAAGTTATTGCTCACCACCAAGACTGGCTGAATTCTGTGTCCCCAGCTGACCGGCATGGCTTTTTTACCTTAGATTTTTTCAGATGTAATTGGGTGTGAGCAGTTAGTCCGTGGTGCAACTCGCAGGAGTGGAATCTCTTGGATACTGTATTAACTGATGTGAGAGAGATATTAAATGCAGAATCCATTGCGCCAACAGGTTCCTCCGACCACCGTAGTCAAGCTTGTAAGACCCAGCTTCACTTCCCAATATCAGGTTTTCCTCCAACTAGACAGGTCCTGTTAAAGCTTTGAATTTGTTATTGTTGGACATCATGAGATTTGTACCTAGTAAAACTCTTAAATGTCATTCACATGATAAAACATGGTTTAATGAACTCTGTCACCAGGCTTATGAGGACAAACATGTTGCCAACACTCTCTGGTCTGCTAATCGTATTTGTCATTGCTGGGAGGATTATGTTGCCATGCGAAATAGAGCAATTCATGTTTATAAGAAGGCTAAAGCTGAAGATAATGATCTTTTGAGAGTTCTCTCAGAAGCGTCACAGCCTCATAAATGGTGAATGATGATCTGCCTCCTCCGGTACTCTTTCACCTCCTCCTCCTCCTCCTCTACCTCCATTCCTTCTTTCTTCCCTCCTTCCTCTTCCTTCACCTCTATCTCCACCCTCTCTTTCTTTCCTTCCTGCTCCTTTTTCTCCTCTCTACCTCGTTCCCTTCTTCTTCTTTCCTCCTCCTCTTCTCTCCCACACCACCTCT